AGGTCATCTGTGTTTCCTTCCGTGTCATTTTCTAAGAGTTTGTTTTATAGATCCACGTTTTACATCTAAAGCTGTGGTCATATGAGAAAGTTTTTGTGAGCAGCTTATGGTTTGTGTCTAGCGATTTTCCTTCCTTTGGCTGTTGATAATGCCTGCAGCATTTGTTTAAAGTGCTTTTCTCCATTGGTCTCGGGTTCTGCAAGTTGATTGTACTCTGTGGGTCTGTTTCTGGGCTTCACTGTTTATCCTTTTCCCGGTAACACAGTGTCAAGAACACCTTAATATTACTCTAAGTCTCAAAGTTGTGCAGTGAAGTTCCTCTGAGTTGGTCTCCTTTGACGCTGTGCTTTGTTTTCAGGGTCTTTTGTATGTCTTTAATCATCTTTCAGCATCCATAAAATAGCAGGCTCAGGATTTGATTGTGACTATATTAATATGTAAGTCTTAATGACACCACCTAACATCATGGCATTATTTAGTCTTCCTGCCCATGGACATAGCAAACCCCTGCATTTATTTAGCTCTTCTCAATTTCTTTCATTGGAGTTATGTAATTTTCTCATATAGTCTTGTTTGTATTTTGTTAGACTTACATATAAGCAATTCATTTCGAGGGTACCCTTGGTGATTACATTTTAAATTCTACTTGTGTGTGTTTTCGCTATTTGGGCAAGTCATTGGCTTGTAGCCTTGGTACAACTGGCTAGCAGCATCGAGTCTGTTCCTTTGCCTCCACTGTAACTTATTTCAGAATTTCTACTCAGATGATCGCATCATCTCTGATTGAAGACAAGTTTATTCCTTCCTGAATTAAAACCCACTCGGGCTGCTTTTTGCAAACACTATAAACTAGGGAGTTTATACACAAAAGTATTTACCTCTTGAATTTCTGGAGTACGGAAAAAAAATCTAAGATCAAGGTTCAAGTATGTTTGGTGTCTGGCTCACAAATGGGAAACTTTTCTCTGTGTCCTCATCTGTCAGGAGACAACAGTGCACCTCTGTGGACTTCTGTGGAAGCAGCGATCTCAGTGACAACAACTCCGCCTGGGTGACCAAGTCACCTGCTGAAAAGGCTATCTTGTATTTCCAACCTTACACAGGAATGTGCATTTTCTCACTGTTAGGGGTGCTTAGTTTAGGTTTATCTTGAGGTCCTTATTAAAATGACGTTTTTTCCATAGTTTTTTTTTTTTACTTGTCTTTTTCTAGTTACAGCACCAGTAAGTTGGGAATTAATTCCTGTCATTCTATCTTCTGTAAGCAATTCTACAGAATTGATATTTCTGCCTTAATTATTTGATAACATCTACTGTTGGTCCTACCAGAGCTTACTCCTGGTTTTTATTGCATATATATGCAATATATACCCTGCTTTTCATTGAATATATGCAATATAAATATATATGCAATAAAAAGCAGGATATATATATTCATCTGTGTGTGTGTGTGTGTGTGTGTGTGTGTGTAGGTTTTTGCACATGAGTGTGCAGTGCCTGCAAAGACCAGAAGAGAGCATCAGATCCTCTGAATCTGGAGCTGAAGTCAGCTGTGAGTCACCAGATGTAGATGCTGAGTCCTTTTTAAGAGCAGTAGGAACTCTTAAACACTGACTCATCTCTCCTGCATTTTAATGAACATTTCAGGCCCAACATGACATGACCCTATGTCAGAGTCTCAACCTGCTGCTTTTCTTCTTGACCTTGAATTTTATTTCTTCTCTTTGTTACATTAGAGACATTGATGCTTCTCTTCATTCTCATCTAGAATGCTGTTCTCTTTTTTCCTCTCCTCTGATTCTTCTGTTCTGCTTTTTTAAGCTTAACTTTCATGCCTGATTTAGCCAGGGTACTCTAGAGGAAGAGCCCTGAGGGAAGGGGTATATGTTTGTATATCATGATATATGTATGTATATCAGAATGCATTATGTGAGTTTTAAAACAGTAACAGTAACAAAGGTCAAATCACACCTGAGGTGTGGAGACCCCTATAGGTATTTAATCCTTGAGACTGAGAGCATCAGTAGTTGGAATTATCTCTCACTGGGGGGCACAGTCAGGAATCACTCAGCCCACAAGGTGCAGACACAAGGTGCTCCAGGGTCCCCAGTCTAGTTCCCAAACTACAGGAAGCTCCTCAAGAGCTGCTGGTCCCTATTCCAGAGTGAGAGCTTGGGAACACTGGTTCTGCTGCCAGTGGAGTCAGCAGCAATGGGGCAGAGCAACTCAGTGTAAGAGGGAAGTTCAATCCAGAAAACCACAAGAACAAACTTCCATTGGAAATACCCCTTCTTATCTGGGCTTCTACCAGAAGGTGCCATCCACTGTCAGAGCAGGTCTTCCTGGTTGATGAATCAGAACAACTCTTCAGGAGAGGCTCCCCCGTAGCACGTTAATATTCAAACCAACCATAGTTTCTAGGGTTCTGCAGTGATCAGAGGTCCAAGGAATGCTGCAAAGATCACACCTTGCAATGGATCTCTCTCAAGAGATTTACTGGGGCAGGGGGTAGGGTATACAAAAGGCTGCGTCTGAGTGAGAATGGAAAAGTACTCAACTCATGGGGACAGTGGAAATGTATTGCATTCGGTGCCTGGTGATGATGTGGCTGCTGGCGCTAAGTCCCCAGGCTTGGAAAGCACCTGGTTCTGGAATGTGTGATCTTGGTTTCCCAGCAACAAAAATGCTCCTTTGATCTACATTGGTATATGAGAAATGGGAGGCTTGTAAAAATCAAGACACACACACACACACAAACTCTCTGAATTAAGCTGATCCAAGATTGTGATGAGCTAAGATGGCTAACGGCAGTCCTCAGAAGTGCTAGAACTTTTGAAGCGTGTGTGGGTATCTGTGTGTATACCACTCATGGTGTGGTTTGAATGAGAACTATTTCCCACAGACTCCTCCAGGGTAAGTCTGCTTCTTTTGTTCTAGAGCTTTCAGGTGTGCTGTTAAGTCTCTAATGTGAGCTTTCTCCATTTTCTTTATGTGGGCACTTCTCGTACCTTCATAGGGATATCCTTCTTTAGGTTGGGAAGGTTTTCTTCTATGATTTTGTTGAGTATATTTTCTGTGGGGGTTTTTCTCCCTCTTCTATCCCTATTATTCTTAGGTTTGGTCTTTTCATGGTGTTTCAGATTTCCTGGATGTTTTGTGTTAAGAATTTGTTGGATTTAATATTTTCTTTGGCCAATGAGTCTATTTTCTCTATATTATCTTCAGCATCTGAGATTCTTTCTTCTATCTCTTGTATTCTGTTGGTTATACTTGTTTCTGTAGTTCCTGTTCGTTTACCCAGATTTTCCATATCCAGAATCCCCTTGGTTTGTGTTTTCTTTATTACCTCTATTTCAGTCTTCAAGTATTGAACTGTTTTCTTCACCTGTTTGATTGTTTTTTCTTGGTTTTCTTGGGTTTCTTTGAGGGATTTATTAATTTCTTCTAATTTTTTTGTTTTTCTTCTCCTCCATTTCTTTAAGGGAGTTTTTCATTTCCTCTTTAAAGTTTCCATCACTTTCATAATATTACATTTAAAGTCATTTTCTTCTACTTCTTCTGGGTTAGGATGATCAAGTCTTCCTGTTGTGTGACCACTAGGTTCTTATGTTACCGTGTTGCTTTTTAGGTTGTTGAAGGAATTCTTGCATTGGTGCCTACCCATCCCTTCCTTCAAATCAGGCCGGCAGTTTCTTTGTGTCTTGATCCAATCCTTGCTGTGGTTGTCTGAGTGTTTGGGAGTTTTTCTTGGTCTGCTCTGTACTGTCAATATCTGTCTCAGAAAGCCTCTGAGGTCTCTATAAGCCTGCTCTCTTGGTCTTCTCTCCTGGTTTGCTCTCTTGGTGCTCTCTCTTAATCCCCTCAGTGTTGTAGCAAGCTCTTAGTACCTCTTAAGTCCCCTCAGTATTGGAGCAAACTGTGTTTTAGAGTTATACCAAGGTTGCAGGAAGATAGGCATGTTTGGGGGTGGGGTGTGGCTGGCTGGGTTTGGGAGGATCTTGGCCTCAGGAAACTCCCAGCTGGCTGGCTAGAAAGGCCAAGGGAGTTGGGGGAGGGGCCCAGGGTTTTGTCCCACTGGGGAGGTCCTAGAGAGTGGGGCATTCTGCCATGTGGCTCTTAACTCATCTCTTAAGTCCCCTCAGTATTGGAATAAGCTGTGTTTCAGAGTTCCACTGAGGTTGCAGGAGGGTAGCTTGTTCTAATTTTCTGAGACAGGATCTCCATATGCATCCCTGGCTTACCTGGAATTCACCACACAGACCAGGCTGGCCTCATACTCATAGAGGTTTTCCTGTCTTTGTTTTCCAAGTGCTGGGATTAAAGGTTTTGACCACCTGTCACCATTCCCAGTATTTTACATGTATCCTAGAGGTTGAATTCAGGCTCTCATGCTTGTGTGGCAAGCACATTACTGATGGAGCTACCACCCCAGCCTGGAGAAGGATTTTTGATCTTTGTTTTTGATTGACATGTAAGGGGTATCCAACCATCACCACAGGAAAGGCATGGCATGTGGCATCCACTTACATTTTAGCAGAACAGGAAGTAGACAACAGGAAACAGCTCACTCTCAGTAACCCACTTCCTCCAGTTCTGCCTACCCACTAAAGGTAGAGCAACACCTTCGCTTGGGGACCAAGTATCCCGAGACATGATCCTGATGTGGGGAAGTATTTCACACCCAAACCACAAAAGCTCTATTTTACCAACCTGAGAGGTCACAATGAGACTGACCTTGGCTACTCTAAGGATTGAGGCTAAAGTTGTGTTCATCAGTTTTTACCCCCAATTGTATCTTCTCTTTGCACAAGCCATGGTTTTCTGTTGCTCCAATAACCTTTAAAAAATAATGAAGACTTCTCATTATTGCTAGCTGTTCCTAATGATCTCCCAGAGAAGTGGGAATGTTTAGAAATGAGGTAGCAAAATAAGTGAAGGGAAGAAGAGAAGGGAAAGGGGAAAAAGCAGAGGGAGCTGCATAATAGTGTTATATTATTTTATTGAATACATATAGTCATTCATACTTTTATATATTAGATATATTTTCCCATAGTAATATCCCTCTGATAAGGCAATAGAGATGTAAGTGTTCAATTAAGTATTTCAGTTAAAGAACCAATTCGAAATTCAAACTTTAACCAAGCAAATGCATGATAAGTTAATTCCAGTGCTGACTCTATTTGGCTTTCTAGAAACTTTTCCTGATACGGTTATTCTTTTATTAATGAATAAAATATAAAATACATTTTAATGTTAAATCCTAACATAGAAACAACAAAATTTATAAAACAAGAGCATTGAGTCTGATTACTAGAATGTTTTTGTGAACCTAATAAAATAGCCTAATTGAGATTAAATATATTTTTTTGCCTAAAGGATATAAAATAACAAATGTTCAGTATTTCTGGGCTTCAATTTGCACCTAATCTATTAGCAAAAATAATAAACTAATGTTACAATGTTTTATTTGAAATGCTTTAAACTTCAAAGCATAATAAAATATTGTTACAGCAAATTATGTCACACGGCTCTGAAATTAGTCATTTCTGTGGAGCGGGAAATTGTTTCTATAAAGATTATGGGACCAAATAAGGGAAAAGGCTGCAACTTGTGAGTCTCTTCCCTTTCAAGTCTTAGAGCAGTGCTCCACACTGTGGGGCAGATAGGATGTTAAGAGGCCCGCTTCAGGAAGACTCTGGTCCCAGAAATCAGCAGGTCAGCAAGGCCATCCCGAGAAATGCAAGAAACAAAAGCCCACACTTACCCCATGTTTGCTATCTCAACTCTACCCAAGGCAAGTTGCTTCAAAAGACTTTACATGAATAAAATAGAACAGGAGCCTGCAAATATAGCTGTCCATTGTCACTCTACAGATAGCAACTAAAGAGGTTGTCCTAGACGGCATATCCAGGCTTATTTTAGCTCTGCTGGCGTCGATTCTGAAGGGGATCCTTCTGCATCTGCAATGCAAATAAGATGAGGCCTCAAATTTTAATACACTCAAAATTTTAACTTATTAATTAAAAAGTATATAACAAATGTATTTCTGCTCCTATTCCTAAGGATTAACGCAAAAGTCTATAAAAATTGAGTTTGCAATCCTACCTTGCAGCACCAATCATGGTTGGGAAACAGGCTCCACTTTTGCACTAAAGCACCAACCATTCTTTCCTATCCGAGTCCTGCCAGCCTGTGATGCAGAACTTCTGCTTCTGAAGCACAGGACAGAACTCAGCTGTGTGGCTAGAGAGAGTTCTCTGTGTGGTGTCTGTCTTTCTGCTCCCAAGTCTCACACCCTCTCTTTAACTGGGGCCCCTTGCCAAAGTCTGTAACTGAACCTGTGGCTGTTAGGTTTTATGTCAACACATCAAGAATGTCTGCAAACAGTCATGTTAAACTAGCAACAACCTTGTTTGAGTAGATTCATTTCCAGAAAGTTACAACTCCGAGGAGAGGGTTTTCAGGCAGGGAGGAGAAGGCACCATCTGCTTTAATTGTTGTTGTTTATAAAGTGTAAACTGTGACGGACAGAGGAGCAACCACGATCAATGGTGGAAAGAAATGTGGCATCAGCAGTGTCAGCCTTGGGGAGGGAGGGGCCAGAGTTTTCAGTGGTGATGCCTGCTTCCCATGCAGCAGATCCCCAGCCCCTTGAACGCCTCCCCCAATCCTCAAGGACAGTGTGCTTCTCTGTTTATGAGTTTGATGGCAAAACGTTTGTGTGTGATTAAGTAGGACCTGCTGCCGGTGAAAATGTGGATTCCGTTAGAACACCTGGATTGGATAAGACTTGCAATGACTTATTTCCAGAAAGTTAACAAGTTTACACCAGTGTTAAGTGCTATCCCTCGGTTAGACCTTATGTATATACTGATGGTGAGGTCATTTTTATTTACTTGAGGATAAAATGCAGAATACTAAGATATAGTTTATGTGGCTGAGCCTGTGTATGCACTGCATGCACATATGTAAATTGGGGGTCCTAAAATGATAATGATTTAAAACTATAGGTGAAAGAAGAAAATAATATCAGACAAAAATAAATAAAGACCAGTGACACAAGGGGAAAAACTAACAAAATGAAGATCTTTGTTTTTAAGATGGAAAATCTGTAACTAAAGTAGAAAAGGCAAATGGGAAAGAAAAGGCACCACGAGGCATGTACTCACACACTGTGACAGTGGAACTGATCTAGTGGGAGCTCACCAAGGCCAGCGGGACTGGGACTGAATAAGCATGGGATGAGACCGGACTCTCTGAACATGGCGGACAATGAAGGCTTATGAGAAGCCAAGTACAATGGCATTAGGTTTCTATCCTAATTTATTAACTGGCTTTGTGTGAGCCTAGCCTGTTTGGATGCTCATCTTCCTGGACCTGGATAGAAGTGGGAGGACCTTGGACTTCCCACAGGGCAGGGAATCTGGACTGCTCTTCAGTCTAGAGAGGGAGGGGGAATGGAGTGGGGGGAGGGGGAGAGGAGTGGCGGAGAGGGGGGGCGGTGTATGGGAGGAGGGGGAGGGAAATGGGGAGGAGGCAGAAATTTTTTTTCAACAACTAAAAAAAAAAAAGGCACATTGTAATGCTACCATAGAATACTGAGGACAGTAACAAGGTGGGTAGCCTAGACGCTCCTATACACACTCCAGTAAACAGAGACCCTACTGAATCATGAGTACAAAGTGTGCTCAGATCAAAATGAGTAAGGAGGCTGAATCCATTCATCTGTGAGAAAAAGACTCCCGGATAGAAAGGTCTGGGAACGAGCATGCTACGGTCAAGCTGGGTCTGCTTTGGGTTGCTCCACGCTGTAGACAAAACCGGGGTTTCTCAGAAATCTGCCATGTCTTGAAGGGCTCAATTTGAAAGGCAGCAGCTGAGTACCTTTTGAGGGAGTACACAGAGGCAGGATGACCCTGTGTCCCATCCCACACGCAACACCAGCATCTTTCAGGCACCACCCACAGAAGCACGGAACAGTGAATAGCTTATTGCTAATAGTAAAATGGCAATTACTCTGTAAACTCATTAATGTAAATTGTGACCCTATAAACACAAGGACAGATTAAAATCCTATCAATAAAAGCAGGCCAAAGAATTTGCTGAACACACCCGACCGAGGAAAAGGCACAGCATTTTCACTTAGACCTCCAAAATATGGGACAAATAACACCACAACGGCTCCTGTTACCTCCAACTTGCCATCTGGCCACTCAGATGTGTAACATCAAAAACCAACAAGCTGAGAACTGTCCCCAGGGCCTCAGCACAGCTCTCCCCCATGGGAGACATAGCCTACCTGGATTGCTGTGTGTGCATGAGTCGCTCTTCTAGACTGACTGTCCCTTCATCCATTACTCGTCCATCTGCACCCGTCCTGACCTTTCGCTCTGTAGCCTCACGGTCCTACATTTAGCTTCTGCAGCTTGCCTAGCCCCCTGAGGCTTGACTCAGCAGCATGGCTCACTACCTGATCCCTTTGCAGCCTTGCCAACTCTTGACTTGCCTCCAGTTGCCTCGTAGGGGCTCCTTGAACTCTGCTGTGGCTCTTATCCCTCTGTAGCTGCACCTTGGCCTGCAGATATGCATATATGGACACTTATTTGGGGATGTGTGATTGGAGAGTTAGTTAAGCCTGGAATGAAAGAACTTGTGCGTGCCTCAGGAGCTATCAAGGGAGGCAGGACTGTTTGGCAAATGGTTGCCAACAAACCCATTGCTTCTCCTGTGTGTGGTTGTTGAGTGTGGATGTGTTATTAGTCAATTAATTCTGACATGGTAGAAAGACACAGACATATTCATCTGTGTTTATGACATAATCTGTTTATAACAAGACATAAAGTCAGACTTACTGAACCATGAGATAGGCTAAAGCCCCTAAATCAATCTACAGACTGAAACTTACTTTTCAACAAACGTAGAGAGAATACATAGTAGGAAAGGACAGGCTTTTCACTAAGTGTTATTGAAAAATGAATACACATAAGCAAAATATGAAAATCAAATTTCGGCTCACACAACATACCCAAGTACAGACTGAAGGTCTAAGCAAAAGACCTGCCACCTCAAAGCTCCTGGAAAAACGACAGGGGAAATCTTCCAATCAGTTCCTTTCCTTTTTAAAAGATGTGTTTTATTTATCATTATTGCCTTTCTTTATGTGCATCTGTGTGTATGCCTTCGTGAGCTTATGTTTGCTATGTGAGAGCAGGTGCCTGGGGAAGCCAGTTGAGTCTTCTAGGATTGGAGTTGTAGGTAGCCACCCGTTAGCTGCCCGATGTGGGTGCTGCAGCTGAATTTGGCTTCTTGGCCATAATCGTAAGCACTTAACCTCTAAGTTAGTGTTTCTTAGCCTGTGGATCGAAACTTCCACAGGGGTGGATCTTTACAATACGATTCATAACAGAATCAAAATTACAGTTACGAAGTAAGCAACAAAAATAATCTCAGAAGAAACTGTAGTAAAGGGTCGCAGCATTAGAAAGGTTGAGAGTCACTGCTCTAAGTCATCTCTCCCGACCCCAGAGATGTTTATATATATAAAGATCTGTATTATATATAAACATGTATAGATGTTTACATATAGGTTATATAAAAATATGTTATATAAATACTATGTTACACACAAAATACTGAGCTATGTGTTTTATATAAATAGTATATGTTTATATATAGATGTTTATATTACCAAAACACAAACACCACAAGCAAAATAGACAAATAATATTGTATCAAACTAACAAGCAAAAGAAGAAATCAGCAAAATAAAAATGCAATGCACAGAATAAGAGAAAACACTTTGAAACTGCTTTTCTGGTAAGGGATTAGTATCTAAAATACATAAGGAGCTCAAGTAACTTAGCAAGAAAGGAAACTGTGGGTTTTAGAACTGGGCAAAGGAACTGGGCCTGGTAACTCATGCATATAACCCTAGCCCTTGACGCCTGAAGCAGGAGGATTGCCACAAGTTTGAGGCCAACTTTGGAAACAGGGAGTTCTAGGCCACTTCGATTTACATAGTGAGATCCCATCTCAGAATGAAGCGAAATGCAGCAACAAGAGATAGGCAGTAGGGATTCGAGTGCTGGCCCCACGAACATACATGCAGATAAAACACTCATACATGTTAAATAAATAAATCTGAAGATTAAAAATACTGCTGGCAAGGATGTGAGGAAACAGGACCACAGACCACTGTTAGCAAGAATGTGCATGAGCACAGCATACAGAAATCGTCACCAAGCTCCTCTCACTCTTGGGTACATATCCCGAAGAACTGCAACCAGGAGGTCAAGAGGCAATCCTCAGTCCTCTGTTCTCACTGCAGCACAGTTCACAATAACCAAGAGAGAATCTCAGAATCTCAGCCTAAAGACCCACGAGAGGATGAATAGAAGAAAACAAATACACACACACAATTAAAAGTAATAAACATAAATTTAAAAAGATAATCCATACTCAAAGAACGAGAAAGAAGGCTATTCTGCTTCAAGGAGCAATAAGACAAAACTCTATTGGCTCTGTAATGTCTAAGAGGGCCCCTTTTCACCGGTTGGCCATCTCTGTATGGATGGAGACTGATTGACAGGTCATACTCAACATGGAAAGTCATACAGAGCTCCATTCACAGACCAATATCACAGCATTTTAAATGTATGAGCACAACCCCCCCCACACACACACCACCACCACCACAGCCTTCTTTCTCACTACTCAAAGCAGCAAATCCCCTGAAGATAGATAAATTTTTTTTCAGAACCAAGTTGCCTATAATCAGCAGGGACAAAAACTGAACACAACAATCCTCAGAAGTTTCCACAGGTGCAAACAAGCAAATTGGACTAATTCTGTAAATGCTAAAGAAAAAAACAAATACTAGCGCTGTATTTTGGGCATCTTAAATTATTCAGTTTAAGAAACGCTGGTATCAGAGAAATGGAATGCCTGAACTGGGGCTTCCCAAGGACAAGAAGGCATCCCGTGAAGGGTATCAAAGGACAAGCTCATGTGGGACAACGACAGTGTCCTGTGAGAACTCTTCACATTCGGAAGACTCAAACTGATACTGTGATTTACACTTTGCTGTACCAAATGGAGTATCAAGATTTTTGATAACTATAGTAAAAACATGAGGCCCCATAAGTCATAGCTTTTTGTTCTGCCACCTGAATGAAAAGAAAGAAGTCTAAGTACACACAACCCCCATGCCTGCCCCATGCCCTAAGCCTTCTTGGAGTTTGAGCATGGCTTTAATCTGCATATCTCCCTAGGAGATACATGAGGAGATAAGACAAATCACCTGCCGCCCTCAACGGTATGCGTTTCCACGCGCGCGTCATGGTGACCCTCACCTGGAGTTTTCTCGGAATCTTCAGGGGGCTCTGGATCATGGGGCGTCTCTGTGTCCTCGGTACTTTCAGAGTCCTTTGTGGACCGAGTGGACAAGGATGCCCTGGATGTCTTCGGGGTCCTCTTGTCAGACTCGCCTCTCTGCTGCTGTAACCACTCGTCCTTGTAGCCGTTGCTGATGAGTTTGGAAAAGTTGGTTGGAGAGCTGCTCTTGTGACCGGGCCTTAAAGAGACACGTGGAAATGTTACACTTGAGTGCCGAGATAAATTTAAAAGGCAAATATAGAAACAGTGTTCAGAAAACTTAACTTGTGAAGGAACGCTGCTACTGAGCTCTGCCCCCCCTCTCCCCTCTCCCCTCTCTGTTTCTGTCTCTGTGTGTCTCCCATCTACCAGTCTCTTTCCCCATTTCAAACATAAAAAATGGTCCCAGTGCATTCCTGTACATGAGTGATAGCATGCTTAGCCGAGTTTCCCAACCCTTTTTCTTCTTTTACCCAATTAAAATTTAGTCAGAACACCGGTCTTACACAAGGAGGTCCTAGAACCGAACCCCACCCCTGTGCTAACATGGGGCTACTTAGGCTAGCCGCTCCTGTCTTAAGAACTCTTCCTGTTGTCCACTCACAGCACAGCTCTGCCTCTGTCATCTGTCGCCTGCTGCAGCTCACAGATCCTATCATAATTAACGCTGAAGAGCGGTAGGGCGGTAGTGTGAGCCTTCCAGTCAGGCGGGTGACAAGCACACTCTTGTCACCTCCCAAGCCACAAGTTTCGGACTTATGAATCACCTTATTGAGGATTTTCCTGGTGAGTCCCTCCCCATCTGTCCCAATGTCATGAATGTGATTGTTTTGAAGACTCATTCAGCAATTCATGACGTCTCTTTTCTCCTAACTAGACTTCTGGCAAATAAGGTGACACAGGGACCCCAGGATTTCTCTCTTTAGCTAGAAGACCAACAGGGGTCAGCATACCAAGGGAATCCCCAGATGAATGCAGCGTCAAGAGTGACTGCATTCAAGGTTGAAACCCTCACCCCCACCCCGTGCTCAGGCTTTGGTGACAGGAAGTTTCAGGACCGAGTGCTTGAGCAGGGACAAGTGGCCACAGACCACGACCTATGCCGCAAACAGGCTGCAGGAGACCAGGCATGGGACCATAAAGGAAAAACCTGTGTTAAGAAAGGAGCGAAAGTGCAACCAGGTTCTCAGGCCAGGCTGGGCAGAGCTCTGTGGGTAGGGGGTGGGGATCAGGCACTACCATTGCAAACCTGGATAGAGCTGGGCAGGGCAGTGGGTGCCATCAACTCACAGCTGCCACCTGGGTGGAGGACAGAAAACAATCATCCAAACAGCACTCATTCTCACAAGGTGGACACTTACATAGGAGGCAATGACAGCCTGCTCCCTTCAGGGTCTTTGTGGCTAACTGGGGTTCCCACTTTGCTGGGATTTTTGGAATTAATGGCTGGCAGTTTCACCTGTGTGAAAAAAAAAACAAATCTATGAGTTAGGGTCAAAGAAAGAATTCCACGAGCAGCAAAGATACCAGTACTGGACTTTCAGTATGGTCACAGGCTGTTACAATAAAATAAAATTAAATAACCACTACGTCAACAGGATGACTTCTAGAGGGGACAAAATGTGCTTCAAAAACAGTTGCTGTGTTTAAGGAAAGAGGTCCCCTGCTCAGGAGGAGAACAATCAATAAGTGTTGGGGATAATTGATATTCTGAGGGGTATGGAGGGACGGAGGGATCCACCAGCCCATATAAAATGGAAATGTAAGTATGGTGAGCTTTGTGAGAGTCACCAAAAACTAGAAACAAAACAAACACCCACCAATAAAGGAATGGATAAACAAGCCGTACCTGGTCTAAGATTACTTAACAGTAAAAAGATCAAGGGTTCTGACACATGGTACCACATGGCAGAGGCAGGCTAAAGGGACTGTAATCACTAGCTTGATGACACTGTTTTGAGAGTCTAGAAGGTGCTGTGGGATAATCCTTCCGTACGCTGTGAATATATGTTGTGCTCATTGGTTGATGATAAAGCCGCTTTGGCCTATAGCAAGGCAGAATATAGCTAGGCAGGAAAGTCAAACTGAACACAGGGAGAAAGAAGGGTGGAATCTAGAGAGACGTGAGCCAGCCGCCCAAAAAGCAAGATGCCAACAGACCAGTAGTACCACGGCCATGTGGCAATATACAGATTAATAGAAATGGGTTAATTTAAGTGTAAGAGCTAGTTAGTAATAAGTCTGAACTATGTCAAACAGTTTGTACTTAATATTAAGCTTCTGAGTGGGTATTTGGAAACTGCTGCGGGATGGGACAGGACAGAGAAGCCGCCATTTACAGAAGGGAGAACGCACTAAGACTTATCCCAGTTAGGGTTTGTTGCTGACAAACACCATGACCAAAAACAACTTTATTTTATGATTCTCAGGTCACACTCCACCTTGGAGGGACACCAGGACAAGAACTCGAGGCAGGAACTAAAGCAGAGACGGTGGGGGAAAATTGTCTTCTGCTGATCCCTATGGCTTTCTCAGCCTGCATTGTTATACAACCCAGGACCACCCTGCCAGGCCTGGCACCTCCCACCATAGTCTGGGCCCTCCCACGTCATCCAGTCATCAAGAAAATGTTCCACAGACTTGCCTACAGGCCAATCTGATGGAGACATTTTATTACTTTAAGTTTCTTTCGGACAACCTTAGCTTGTGTCAGGCTGAAAAAATTTAACAGTCACAAGACTTGAAAGAGATCAGAGACTGCTAGAGATGGAAATTAGGAGGGTTTGGCGAACAAGAGGCTGAGACATCTGAGAGGTGACAAAACTGCTCTATAGCTCAGTGTCTATGGCGCTTACACAAGGTATGCATCTGTCAGAAGGTCAGCACTGAGTAACAAGTTAACTGGGCTCTGTATAAATGGCTTCAGATGAAGTGGTGATACCTCTGTCCTAAGGACAGGTCAGAGTCTACGGCAGGCTGAGTGATGGGCAGGGCAAGGGCAGAGGATTCGATGGGTGTCCCATTCTTTGCTAGGGTGGAGAAGGCAGGTCTCTGCAAGGCAGGAGAACCTGTGGCAATGTGACAGATGGGGTAGGGTGGCATGCCAAAGTCTAGGACAATAGTCAAGTGTTGAAAAGATTCTCACAGTAAAGCTTTTACCCTGTTGGTGCCCAGAGGTTTTGCAAGATTTGAGAGGAGGAAAAGTCCCCTAGTTCTGCAGAATAGACATTTAGGGGAGCTTTGTGCCCAGTGGTGATGAGTGGCCCCTCCCCGGGGGCCTTCAGGACTGCCCCGCCATATGACTCTTTTTGAGTTGCTTAACACCTTCGGTTAGTGTACAGTAAGTATTGGTGTCTGCAATCCTAACTTCCTCCTTCCTTAACATTGAGAAGGTGGAGGACAGTCTGGCTTCAGGTATTTCTGCAGTCAGCAGAACCCTTCGTGAGTGATTACTATATGAAGTCAGGTTTTACAATGGTGCAGCATTGTTTGCTTTGTAAATTTTCTCACCCTATGCGCTGGAACCTTGGTTAACAGCCAAGCCTTCCATGTATTGCTCAAGGTTCTATATAGTCAGCCACTTACATATACATCATCAGGAAAGAGGCCTGGTCCTTCGTAGAGTCCTTTAGCAGGACTTACAGCAGTGATCCAAAGCCTGAATCACAACGGGGCAAACACCAAACACGGCAGCCAACTGGTGCTATCTTGATATTCAACTACCAAGTCCCCACATGAACTGAGGGTATCCCCTTCCCCCCCCCCCCCAAGACACTGAGAAGCTAGGCTTAATGTGTCCAAGACACACTGTTCCCCTTGCTGTTCAAATGACAATGGGGCCCACTCTCATTCTCAGCCTCAAAACACAACTGCTATTTTAAGTATAAATGCTACCACTTCACTCACGAATTTTGATGTCTTGAGGACAAAAATTCGTTTCCAACCTGGTTGCTAGTGCCAATGTTGGCAGTAGCTTGGCATGGCCCTGGCTCTGCTCTCGTGGGCTCTGGGAAGAGTATAGGTGTAGAACTCACAACCCATCTGCTGATCATGACTTGCTTCTGAGATTCCTAGATGCTCAGACAGGTCGGGTCCTCTGCAAAGGCTTCACTTTGCGAGCCAGTTATGACCTCACAACCGAAACACCCCTGGGCATCTCTGCAGAAGAAAATACTTCCTCTTCCCTTCCTTTATCAGTGAGGAGCACTGTGGGTAATTTGGACTTAAATAAATGCAGGAGCAGGACGTTGAACACATATAAACACATCCTTGCTCTCTATGTCAGATAGGAAGTGGTAAGCCAGTTTTTCCGCAAGATAACCATTAACTGGTTAGACACCAGAGGACAAAAAGCAATCTTACCTATAAGGCCAACATACACAGGGGAAAAAAATGAAAGAAACTGTGGCTGCTTCCCTCTTAGAAGCTCCAAAGTTAAGACAGAGCTCAGAGCTGAGGGAGGGCTGGACCAAGGCTGCAGGCAGCCTGAGTAGGCGGCCTCAGCTAAGAAGCAACTCCCTTAATTATTCCGGGATGCAGGTCACGCCCTCTCGCCAGCAAGGTTACCTTTCTCTTCACGTCTTCAAGTTCCTCGGCCTCTCTTTGCCAAACGGTTTTCATGTCAAAGTCAAAGGGGCCTCGTCTGGACTCATAGGTGCCATTGGCCTGACCAGGGTTGAATTCTTCATACACCATGTAATCCGGCATGGAGACCACGGGGACTCTGCAAGGACACACAGGACAAGTGACAGCCTGGCACCTGGCCCCAGTTCATGCTCTCTCTCTCTCCTCTTTCTTTTTATTCTTCCCTCCTCTCTTCCTCCCTCTATCCTCTCTCTCCTTTTTCATTTCCTCCCTATTTCCACACTCTTCCCCACACCCCTTTTTCTCAACCCTCTGGTTCATCATCTCTCTACTTCCCCATCTTCCTGGAAAACAAAGGTAGGCCTTTTATTCCTACTGAATAAACACATCGGCCCCTCCCCGAATAGCCCCCAGAATCCTCAAAACAACAAAAGAAATCACAGGGTGGCATTCTAAAGTATGACCGTATAAAACAGATAAATTATAATTATTTCTTGGAGACTAGCATTTACTACTTTGTTCCCTTCAACGAGATAAGTGCCCACAAAACATTTACCGTTTAACATCATCTATGCTAATAACCACCTGCTGCTCCGTGAGATGGCCAGTTTTAATGTGGGTACAGAAGCATCCAACTGGTCTTCCCACACACACAATCCACTGGAAAGTGTCAGCTCCAGGGTGGCCTGCTCTTCCTCACCTGTTCCTGCTTTCCCCACCTGATTCCCTTTTTTTTCCCCTGAACTTAACACAAACTTTTAAAAAAAAAACAACAACAACAGAAACAGAGTTTCATTATGTGTCCCTGACTGGCTGGGAGCTCAGTATGGAAACCAGGCTAGTCTTGATCTCAGTTTTGACCTCACAGAAATTCTGCCTCTCTACTGTTAGAATTAAACCTGCAGGTAGTGGTGGCACACTCCTTTAATCCCAGCAATCAGGAGGCAAAGAAAGACAGGCAGATCTCTGAGTTCGAGATTAGCCTGGTCTACAGAGTGATTTCCAGGACAGCCAGGGCCAAACAAAACAAAACAAAACTGTTTTGTACCACAGGTCTGTGTACCACAAGTCTAGCGTACAAACTATTCATTCTAAAAAATGGTAGTTTAATATTCACTTGCCAGAAGCATGTACAAGCATAATGTGTTTTTTAATTTTATGTGTTAAAAGTAAAAACAAAGCTAGGATAGTGGTGGCCGCTACTTTCTTCAGCACTTGGAAGACAGAGGCAGAAGGATCATGAGTTTGAGGTCAGTCTGGGCCTCAAATTCTGAGGTTCCAAACAGCCTGTGATCCATTTAAAATATAAAATATCACAACTTTTAATAAAAATACAAAAACAAAGCCGGAAGAGCCAGGATCCTGAAGACAAAAAAAAAAAAAAAAAAAAAAAAAAAAAAAAAAACCACCCCCCTCCCCCACACACACAGCGTGCCCAGGGACAGTCAAGAGACACTGCATCCTGCCCAGCAGCATGGAAAGATGTCTGCGCTCGTCCAATCTTTCAGGAAAAAAACAGAAAACAAGCCAGGTGGTGGTGGTGCACGCCTTTAATCCCAGCACTTGGGAGGCAGAGGCAGGGAGATCTCTGTGAGTTCGAGGCCAGCCTGGTCTACAAGAGCTAGTTCCAGGACAGGCTCCAAAAGCTACAGAGAAACCCTGTCAAAAAAAAAAAAAAGAAGAAACTGAGACAGAAAGAAAGAAAGAAAGAAAGAAAGAAAGAAAGAAAGAAAGAGAAAGAGAAAGAGAAAGAGAAAGAAAGAAAGGATAAAACAAAAGACAAGTCTCTAAAAAGCAGAAAAATAAATCCTAGAATCAGTTTTTATGCTTCCTCTCAGACCTAGAGAGGCATCTGAAGGGTCAAGTTTGCATAGCTACAAGTAACAATCATTAGATATTGTAACAGGATTAAGGGGCCCATGGCTCTTCACGTCCATGATCTGTCTGAGACTGAGCGCTGTGTACCTTTCTAGTTGTATGTAGGACTTGTCATCCGCAGTGAGAAGAAGAAAGCTTTGGGGCAGGCAGCTCTGTGATAGGCAAACATGGTCAGGGCCCAGGGGACAAAGAATAAAAACCTAAAACTACTAGCTAGTAAGTGGCCAAAAGCACCACACCCTGAGGTGACATGGCTCCTTGTCTCCTTGGCTCTGGTTTCCTGGCAGCTTAGGCTACATCTCTCCGAGCATTAGTGATTACATGCACTAGCACTCAGGGCTGCCATGGCACATGCTTTCTGCCAATAAGATAGTTGTAATGTTCCAGTTCAAACTGAGATTCGTCAAACTTGTTTTTATTGCATTTTATTTATTTAGCCGCACACATTCCACGGTGAGCATGTGGAGATCGGACGATAAAACGCAGGTGTCGGCTCTTGACTTCTATAGTGTGTGTCCTGGGGAATTGAACTCAGCTTGACAGGCTTGGCAAGCTGCTAAACTATTTCTCTGGACCAATATTTTATGCATATTTAGAGAGAGAGAGACTTAGAGATACTTACTGTCGCTGGTGGGCTGTCGGAGGCTTGCTGTGGTGGATATACCAGTCTGGCAAAGAGTAGGCTACTGGGGAGCCCTTTCTGGTCCCAGGGGCAAAGTGCTTCAGCAAATCTCAAAGAGAAAAGGGACACCGTTATATGTGGTCCTGCTGCCCACAGGACATGAGGCATTACCAACACTCCACACTGGGAGCTGGGACATCTTCTCTAGGGTGACCTCTACACAGGCTGAGAGCTGAGTGTCCTGCTTGGTCCTCAGACAGACATCCCTCATGCACCCTCCACCTCTCATGGCCTCTCCTCTCGAGTGTGCCCAGAGCTCCTGGTCCTGAGCTGGCATCTGTGCCAGTCGCCATCACTACCCCATCTGGGGTTCATCTCTCCACTTCCGAGATCTCCAGGGGCCGTGCGCAATGCTCCTCAGCCTTCAGCTACCTCCACGCTCCTCTCCATCCTGTGGCCGTCTGACCAGCATGGTCCCCCACTGTGGGTCTGCTCCCTCCAGGTTCCCAGATGGGAAGTCCCAGATGGAGGCATCAACTTTGTCGCTCCTCAGGGAGGTAGGCAGCACAGGTCCCTTCTCAATTGGCTCCTCTTTCCCCAGTGACTTCCTTCCTCTCATCCCTCCTCTCCCTCCCGTCCACTGGTGTCCAAGGGCAGTGAGTAGTAAGAACTGGTTTTTCTAGGTAATCCCAGCAGTAAAATAATTCCCAATACCCATAGCATAGCCATGTAGCAGCAGAAAGGGTACTGACTTTACTCCTCTCGGTGAGAAATCGTTAACTTTCCATCTTAAACTTCGAAGTCTTCTGGCTGTTAAGATTTTCAGACTTAGAAATTGAAAGAATGGCGGGAATTCCCCTACACTCTTACCCCAGGCTCTCCATGCATAGCCTGCCTGCTCCGTATCTTTTCCCTTCTCTCCCATGTGTCCCATCGTCATCGGAATCGCCACAGACCTCGGCCCTGTTTGAGTGGCGTGTTGCGGGCAGGTTTGCCTCTTTGCCCTCTGTGCCTTCGCTGTGGCTCACAGAAGCTAGTCCTCACATAATCACAGCGCAGAGAAGACTGTCACTGTGTCACCGATGACCTCCATCTGATTTTTGCTAGTCTCTTTGAACCAAGAACAACGAGGTGGATCTAAGAAAAGGTTGCCTTGATGCTGCACCATCTGCTCATGGCTGAGTCAGTCAAGTGGTGTGGTCTAGGTTTGGAACGCTCAAGCATAGGCTTGGCCTCCATTTCACCTATGATATTCAGTGTTGGGACGGCCAGAGGGAAGATAGAAAAACTTTGGTCTCTCTCAGTACCAGGTGCTCCGAAGCCTAGTTGAGACATGTGTCCCTTAACCTCTGATCAGTGTTTTTTTAATTAAACTCAATATGTCTTTTTTTGTGTGCTTCTACAAAAGTTGATTTTTGTCGAAGACTATACATACCAGTGTTCTCAACGAGCCCAAGTTTCTAAAGGCTTGAACAAAGCACAGAGTTATCCCAGCTGTAGTTCATGTGCACAAGTTCAGAAACACCTTTGTCTTGGCTCAGAGAGCCACTAAGTTCACAAGGCTTACCAGGTCTGCCGCCTTGCTTGGCCAGTTTCACATACTCTGAGTCTGTTTCTTTTATCCAGTATCTCCGAGCACGGGGCATGTTTCCATTTGGGGTGTCTCCCAAGTCACTGAGCCCCGGGATCTGGGATGCGGGTGGGGCACCCACAGCCTTCTCAGAGCGCTTCACAGGTAGGTGGTAGTACCAGTCTAGACAGGAGGGAGACCAGCACGTAGTTAGATGGGATTGGGGGACAGGAGGCCCTCTGCTGCCTGACAGTGTTTCTGTGTGCATATCACGTATGTGCCAGGCAGTACATGGCACAGAACACAAAGCAAGAAATCAATTGCCGGCTCTGGAACATGTGTGACAAATCAGGACACCACCAGAGCAAACTAGAAGACAACTAATTTTCCAGAATCCCCGACCACATCAGTCACTGAGGCAAATAGAAGGAACATCACCTCCTTCCTGCCCCCTGCTCTCCCCCAAAGCCTCTTCCATTGTTTCATTAATTCTAGAAGCTGGCCAAAACTCCATGTCTGTCTTCTTCCCTCCTCTCCCCTTCTTGCCCTCCATACCCCAGAAAAAATGTTTAGCCATATTGCTGGTAATGTTGGGAGACATGCAGACTTAAATAAATACCAAATCATTTATATCATTTAAATCATTATGGATAAACCAGATACTGGGCCAGGATTTGATAGTTGATTCACACATTAAAATACTAATATTTTAATTCTGTCACAGACAACAATCTGATCAAACTTGTTTGTCACTTTTACAAGAGCTGTAGGAAGTAGGCCAGGGTGTGGCCCAAGAAGCTCCACTCGCTTAACAGCTGTGTGGGAAGCCAACATCTGCCTCCTACACCCTCCAGCAGCCGGACAACCCTATGTCCTATGCACTAGGCTGGAGCAATCACCTTTATACAAAACCTCCTCAAGCCCAAGTCTTCAAAGGTCTTCCAGGGAAAGACAGAGGGGAAATGGTGGGTGTAGACTGTGTGACTTTTATCCTAAGAAGGGAACTATGGGACAATTCATATGGAGTAAGAAGAAGAATATGGGCAGCTTGTCCCTCTTTCCTCTCCAGGGTAACAGCAGTCCTCTACAGACAGGGGGGGGGGAGTTGAGCATGGCCTGGTGAAATGAAGACACTCCCTAGACCCTGAGCTGATAGCCTAGAGGGGAGATCCCCCAAGTTGATGTGGAATCACCCATAAGACTCCCAGAGACATTCAGTACCAGAGTATGAACGTCTCTCAAGGGACAGATGGATTAGCAGAATCTCAGAGTCCTGGAGTTACTAGTGCTGATATATAATCACACACACACACACACACACACACACACACACACACACACTACACACATACAGATGGGGGAGAAACAGGGTATAGGTAAGTCTGCGCCAGAAATCAACCAGATGCTAAAATACAAAGAAGTAAAAAAAATATCATCCCATCAATGGAAAAGTTGGGAAAAAAAGACTTGGGAACAGAAAAAAACAAAACAAACAAAATTCTGTGGCATGGATGCTGGCTGTGTTTCGTGGCACTTGCCAGACTCATGACATTCAGAGTCAAACACAGAGACTGGTCCTTTGTGGCAGAGTGACGGCAAACTTCAGTGTCTGTCTGACTCAGCCACAGTATCCAGTCTTTGTACAGGTACTACCCCTGTTGCTTTTGTGGAGGTATTTTTAGGATGAGACCTATCACTTACACTTTCATCAAAGGACTTAGAGTAAAGCAGATGATCCTTACAACAGACCGAGTCTCCTTCGTTCAGTGGCATCTTAAAAAAAAAAATCAAGGAGAGGGACTTCTGCCTCCAGGAGGACTCTGAACTTGATCTGCAGCCTCAGCTCTCCCCTTGCTCTCCAGCCTGCCCTGCAGATTCTGTACTCATGGGCCCCACAAGCCAGTGAACCAATGCCTACAAGAGATCGCTCCCCTTTCACAGGTAGGTGGGTAGCTGATTACTCATGCTGTTCTCAGAGTCAGGGCACAGAGAAACAGCATTGAATAAGCTAGAATAAACACAGAAGCAAGAAGTCGCTGTCCTCTGATGCTAAATGCGCATTGCCAGTTTTTTTTCGTAGAACTAAAGTTGGGCTTGCTGCCTAAAAGGGAAGGCTATTTTACCTGGAAGCTTTAAATGTCTAAAGGATACTTATTAGCTGAGTCAGCATGATCTAGTCTCAAAGATTTGCACATAGGATTCCAGAGAATTAAGAGTCAGAATTCAGCTCGGCTCCTTGTTTCTTCTTTTAGAGGAAAGCCATTTGGTTCTTGCTTCTCTCTCTCTCTCTCTCTCTCTCTCTCTCTCTCTCTCTCTCTCTCTCTCTCTCAATTACTAATTAATCCACAGAGAACAGTGTATTTTCTGCCATCTCATTACCGCGAGCTTTGGATAGGCGCTGAGCACACTAAGGCATTTGTGAACGTGCACACAGGGCCCGCTCAGAGATCTTGGGTCCCATCAGTAAGGACAAACCACCGCCACCGCCAGCACATGCATGTAGGAGCTAAAGGGGACACAGAGGTATCTTTTGAGCTTTTATCACTACAGATTGTTTGTACCCGTGTGACACCAGATCAACCACTGGCTGACCGCTTTTCTCTCTACAGTTTGTCCATTTAATGCTGTGCCCTTATTTTTACTTGTTTTCCGAATAAGGAAACAGAGGCCATAAAAGAGAGTGGGCCATACTATAAATTGCCCCCATTTCTGGCCTCTAAACTACAGGTAACATGATATATATGCACATACCCATAGGGGTACAGGCTTTTCTTTTTAGGTTGTATGGTCTCGGAGAAAAAGCCATTTTGGCGGGTCTATTAATTCCAAGGGCAACTTTCAACTCGCAATGCCTCATTTCTCTGCTCTCTAAAATGGGGTGATAATTTCTGGTGGGGTGCTATAAGTTACATGTGTTAGTGTACAATGGCTTTGCCGAATACACCTGGCTCTGAGTGTCTACAGCATGGTTCACACTTCCTAGGACACGGAGAAGTCACAGGAAGGTTACAGAAGCCTGGGACGGAGTAAGAACTGTTTCCAGCCCACCCCAGTTCTCAGTTGACTGTCACCAACAAGGACGTGGTGTAGCATACATATAGAGGTTGGGGAAAGGTCACACTCTCGTTCTCTCCAGATGAGTTGGCTCCAGCTGCCCCCCCCCCCCAGATGAACATCAGGCCCTCTTTACTCTCTTCTGTCCCCAACCCTTCTCTAGACACAGAAAAAACAAGAGAAAAGCGATATCAGCGTCAGGAAACGTCTTCCTTCCCTATTGGGCTTCAAAACTGAAGCACACAACCTAAGAACCTTCAACCAATTCAGCTTTCCGGGATCCAGATGCTGAAAGCGGGAGACATTTGTCTTGGTTGGGGCCTAAATTAGGAAAGCTAGGAAGTCAGTAATATACCTGGTGGATGCTGTCAAAAATAAAACTTTCCCAGTCAACAGCTCGGGTCAAGATGTGAGAGTTAGGAGGGTTAACTTGCTACAAAATGAATTTCGGTGAGCGCCTGCACTCGGCACTGAAAAGGGAGATAGCACTGTTGCCTAGCATGCAAAGGTCCTGGTTTCAACCCTAGCACCGAAACAGAAAAAGTCAAGGCACCTACGCTTCCTACTTTATCACCCCATCCCTCCCACCCATCCTTACTCACCGCAGGGAGCATAGCGGTGAGAGGTGCTCTGCACCTCCTTGCTCGTGTTCCTCATGGCCTGGTGCACGTTGTCGTCCTGGAGAGAAAGGAGCTGCTGAGTCCGGATTCTCCTGGTATCTGGGCTCTGCAGACCCGCCCGCTGAGAGCAGAGGCTACAGAGGCAAAGTCAGCGTGCTCGTGGTTCCGCCCGTCTCCTGCTGACACACCTGCAGACGCCTCACGCCCAAGAGCTGGCACATCCACAGCGAGCACACCGCAGCACCGCGTCCACGCTGAACACCCAGCAGGGACACATGCGACAGAGTATTCAGCCCGGGCGCATTCGGTAGGTACACTGCAGGGGTAGACAGCACCAGGCACGTTAAGCGGGATAAACAGCAAGGGCACGTGCACGCCAAGTAGACAGCAGGAGTATACCAAGTGTCCTATAGGTCATCACGGGCCGCAGAGTTTAGCAGGCTTTGAAGTCACCACGGGGCTCCGGGCTTTCAGGATCTAGGGTTTACAGTCCATGCAGTTGAAGTTCATACCGGGAGGGCTGGCTCCCAGACCGACTCCAAACTCCAAGAGAGTTGCGGAACCACAGCAGCACGCGTCGCTAGGGCAACGGCCAGGCAGCCAACCAGCGTGTGCAGCGCGTGTGCCCAGAGCTAATGGGAACAGAGCGCAGGAACCACGTGTCAACCGCCCTCGGCCTCCACCTTGGGAGATGGGGCGGGATATGAGGGCGGGGCCAGCCCTAAATACTCCTACAGCAGCGACTCCGCCCCAAGCTCCCTACTGGAACCCTAGTTAGCTAGAAGCATCTACCACATTTTCTAGGCAAAAGTCAAAAAAAAATAAAAAATAAAAAAAAGAAAGAAGAAAGGAAGGGAAGGAGGGAGGGAGGGAGAGAGAGAGAGAGGAAAAAGAAAAGGGAAAAGAAAAGAAAGGTTTATAATCCCAACACTTTGGTGGGATGTTGAGGCAGGAGGATGAAGAGTTCAAGGTCATCTTGGGCTTCATACTGAGTTCTAGAAATTGGCTTGTGAGTGAGTTAAGTGCATTCAAGAAACACTGTCAAATACTTGGGACACTCAGATAATAGAAACTTCTGCAGTTTGGGTCAATATTCAAATCACTGCACAAAATACCCTTTGTCTTCTTGGCGAGGAATATTTGTTTCTAAGCCAAGATGTCTGTTTTTAGAGCGTTCTTAATCCTGCTCCTACTGCAAAGAGTTTCAAGCTACAAACTTTGGCCTCATGTTTATCCTGAAGGCTTCACACCTCTCGGACCAAATAATAGACACGGCCATTCACTTTCGATTCCTGCAGAGGTTAAGGATAAATTATAAGAGCTGTCTAAGAAATTCTATTGACAGCTGAGCTATAAGTAGCCATGGTTCCCTCCTTGCTAAATTTTTCTTTAAAATTCAAATACCAATCTTTTCTGAAATGGTGGGTATTTGACAATTTGATCTTACTGCTGGGCTGTTTCCGTTAGACAAGTAAAGCCTTAGAAATCTAGCAAAAGGCAGATAATGTACGACTGGGTGAGGAGGTAGGTGTGTGTGTGTGTGTGTGTGTAGGTAGGGGTGTGTGTGTAGGTAAAGGTGTGTGTGTGTAGGTAGAGGTGTGTGCATGTGTGTGTGTGGGTAGGGGTGTGTGTGTATAGGTAGGGGTGTGTGTGTGTAGGTGGGGGTGTGTGTTTAGGTAGAGGTGTGTGCATGTGTGTGTGTGGGTAGGGGTGTGTGTGTGTATAGGT